TAAGTAAATAAAAACTAAATACGTTTCATGTAACAGATAGGTTTTTTTTCATAGGAGCCACATGGTGAACTATGTTTACAGTAAGTGATTTTTCTTCTGAAGCATAGTATTTGACAGGTATTGGGAGGGGGGCCTTGAAATAAACCAGTGTATCCAGTATCAATATCTAGAAATCATTAGATAAATAAAATACTCATTTTAATTATTAATTGACTGCCCTTGTTAGGAAATGTAACATGTAAAAATAATAGTCTATGTGACTATTATATAATGAGCATTATAGTGACAGCCAGCATCTCTTTGGCTCTCTTCTCTTGACACTAAATGGCTGTAAAACTGTTTTTGCATACTTGCGGAGGCAGGAGGCTGAACCAAGGGCTATGGATACCGTTGTCTTATTTTCATTATATTTCCAAGGATACAAAGCCAAGAACAACTGTGTAACTAGAATTGACTTATAGACCAGAGGAGAAACGGATTCTGAAGAGAAATAGCTCCATTTTACATATATAACTAAAAAGGAACATCAATATTATCATGCACAGTAGGTTTTACAATTATATCATGAATCAAACAACCACATGGCAAGTCGCATGTGTGTCACACTGAAAAATGTATCTCTACCTATATAATGATCCTATGTTATGCAACAATAACCACATGCCTCTGACCCAACAAGGAAGTGATTTTAAAGTCGCTGACCATTGGATCATGTAGCTTTAGATGATGCAAATACAATGAGCTTCCCCAAATTTTCTGTTTACGTTTTATGATCTAATGATGTCTTGCAAAATATTTATATTTGATTCAGTGAAGTTATTGGAATATCAAGCAATTATTTCTCCATCTCATGAAGAAAATGATATTTACACTCATATAAATGAGTAGAAAACAAGTAACATGGCCATTATTTTGAAAAACATCAAGTTACCTTTTTTGAACTAATGGATATTTTAGATTGAAATCATAAAAATTTTTACCAATGCAGTGTTTGATTATAACTTTTCTAATTAATGATTCTTCCCCTGTTTCCTATGATAATAGATTCATTTTGCCTTTTCTAGAAAGTCATGTAAATGATAGCTTATAGTATGTGCTCCTTTGCATGGAACTTATTTTGCTTAATGTAGTGTTTTTCAGATCCATTCATGTTCTTTGGAACATGACTTTGTTCCTTATTTATAAGTAGTATTCCACTTTATGAACACACCAAAATGTATTTATCCTCATGTTGATAGAGGATCAGCTCTGACCCAATCTTCCCTATTAGGGACAAAGCTGTTCTGAGCATATTAATACAAGTCATTTTGTGGCTATGTTTTCATTTCTTTGGGGCAAATACTTCGGATTAACTGCTGGGTTACAGGGCACATACATGTTTAACTTGAGAATAAAGTATCAAATGACCTTACAAAAAGATCATAACACCCTATTCTCCTACCGGCAATGTTCACATGGCTCGTTGCCTCCTATCTTCACCAATATTTAGTTTTGACAGTCTTTGAAAATTTATCCATGATAGAAGTGAAATATGGATTTTCAAATATTCGGGAGTTTCACAATATCTGCTAGTTTGTGATTTATAATTTATAATTGTGCTATCAAGTGAGAACCTATATGTTTGACTATTGGAAATTTATTTAATTTTTTCATGGGTCAGCATATGTTCTTTCCCTAAGTGACTGAGACATCCAAAGGAAAAAATCTGTTAATACATGGATTTCTGCTTTGATCCATACAAAATGCAACACCAGTCAGAATCAACCAACTTGATCAAATTGACATGTATAGGACTCTACACCCCAAAACTTAAGAACACTGAATGTTTCCACGTGCACTTATTGGGGTTTCTGTTGGGTAATGCCCAAACCTCACCCTAACTAATACCAACATCTATTAAAAGACAAGCAAATACATGAATAGCATTTGGCTCCTGCACACTTTAAAACAAAGCTGATAAGAATTAAATCAATGTGTTATTAATGCTTTTTTCTTTCTTACAAGGTGTGCCTGCTTTTCCCTAATTCCTATGCTCAGAAACCCATTTACTTCTTTCTGGGGAGAGTTACTTAAGTGACTATGTTCTGAGCCTTTCTCTGCTCCAGTCTCATCCCTCTGCCCATCTACAATCATGGCAGCTATTCAGTATTTCCTCCAAAATTGTCCCCACCCCCGTCAGTCTAGCTGGTGGGCAGGCATGATTCCATGGCACACATCACTGTGCATTGTGTCTCCATCCCACAATTCCAGGCTTTATGTCTCTTAAACCCAGATTTCTCATCTGCTGCTTCCTGGTTTCAGTGCTCCCTGGAAAGCGTCCAATGCTAGAATTCACAAAAGCAGTCTGAACATTTTAACTCTGGTCACTTAAAGTTGTTTATTTTCAGTTGAGTATCATAAACAACTTGGGTCAAGCAAGGGAGGCATGAATTCAAGCCATTGAAACAACTGCTCCTTCATTTCCCAACAGTGTGTTGTGATCGTCTCGCAGAGATGGCACAGACTCTGGGGACATCTGCTTTCCCTGTGATTTCCCAGCATGCCCCTCACATTCATGTAGCCACTTGTGTCAGCAATATTTTGCTGTCTTGAGCACAGTCACTAAAGTTATTCTAATGCAACGGAATCAAATGTAGTCAGGGGGTGGAAGGAGGAGAGGTGTGTGTCTCATAACTAAGGTTATACCTACGGATTTCATAGATTTCATTTTGTTTTATGGATGAGTTTTCCCATCATACTTTTCAATTAGTTATTGTTTGTTCAAATAAGAAAAAATTTCAATATATTGAGATCTCTTTTCTAATTTAGTGAATTTCTTCTATAAACTGATTCATATTTTTCCTGTTTCTCTTGATTTTCTTGGGAGACAAGCCTATTCAGTACAAACGATTGCAGATTTCTTCTTTTACCTCTAAGAATTCTCATACTGCATTGGGCAATATTTCCAACCTCAAGTGACAATCAACATCGTTCTTTGGTTCATGACTTTAATGGAAATGTTTTAAAAACTATAGAAATAAAATCTTGTAACAATATAAGTAGAATACATAGGGCAAAGGAACATAAAAATAAACGACTATATCTGAGGAAACTAATTTATCACAATTTCACATACTGTAAGAATTTCTGCATTCTATCTGTTTAAAAAAAAAACTAACATATACTTCTATAATCAGTCTATCATTACCAAAAAATCTTACCTGACAGTCAAAAGACATGTATCCCCCGTATCTTCTACACCAGTTGATTCTGACTTTTGTATCTATATTGGCAGTTATCACATACTTTTTGTTTTAGTTATTTCTAAATATTTATGCACTGTCACTGGATTATAAAGTGTTCAGAACAAGAAACAGTGCCTTATAATTTTAATTTTGGATTCACCACAGAATCTAGCTAAATGCCTTGTAATAGTAGCTATTCAATATGTGTTCACAATGGAAAATATTGTATGTTGTTTATTTTGCAAAATTCAAATGAGTCACATTATCGTGATTATCATCAGCAGCATCTTTCTTTCAAAGTATGTTGGTAAGTTAATCTTCTGTGACTCCAGATGGTTCTGCCAAATTCTACAAAAACACAACTGTGACAAAGGTGGAAAGGGTAGCAACCTTTACTTGGCTGTTTATCTCTTATTAGATTACCTTCTTTTAAAATGTGACTTGAAAATATGAGCAGATTATGGAGTTTTGAGTATTGCACAATATAGTTTTTCAAAGGTGCTCATATCTCAAATATTTCCAGACCATTTATAAATTATCAGAGCAAAAATGTCCAATGTATTAACATTATAATCTGAACAATAAATACAAGTCTCTTGTAAGGAGGTAGATTTCTTTGTCCAGGAGGCATTTATATTTCCAGAAGAGGAGCCGGCGTCTTTCTTGCTCATTTTGTCTTTTGAGTTGGAGATTTTTAGGCTCTATACCTGGCCTTCTGATAACGCCTCTCAGGGTGAATGGATATTAGAAGCAGCAGCCACTTAACAGAAGTGAAAGAAATGGAACATATTGTTCTTCCTTGTACTGAAGACTCAGAGTCGAGAAGAGTATAAAACATCTTAATTCTTCAGATTAGAAGGAATCTGTAAACTGCCTTTCATTGGCCTTATGACCTTAGAGAACTTCTTGGCAAACTACTTTATTTTGCCTTAGTTACACATGAGGAATTTGAGTTCCAATTAATGTGGCTTATCAAGTTTAATATTGAAAAGGGGAGAGCAGAGCCATGAATGATGTAAGCCTCAGTCTCCTCACTGCCAGCTCAGAGCGTTTGTGTTAAATGCAGTCCATGGAATCATACTTCCACTGTTAACCATAATTACCATTTGCTGGGGGAAAAAAAACCCAATCACTACGTTAAGTAGTTTACCGAAAGGATTTCACTGGATTTTCAAAACAACCATTGACGTATATACTGATATGTTATATGTACATGAAAACATTTATTCCAAGAAATTCTAGTCACAATGTTCCAACGTCACATAGCTATCAAGTGGGAGAGTTGAGTTACAAGCACAAGAAAAGCTTATGGATTAGAAGTTTAGAATGCAAATGAATCTGAATTAAGTTTAAATATTACTTAATTTGCAGATTTCAGTTACCGAGAAAAATTATGAAAGAAGTCCTAGGCATTCGTTATTTTGCAGCAGGACTGCCTGGAACGCATACTTTCTCAGTCCTGTGAGGCCTGCAAGCTGGAAAGTCGTTCTGCCTTCATTCTGTGGGAATAGCATTTCTAAATGTTTCCGTGCTATGCTGAGTGGGTATAAGCGAGCCAGCCACAGAACACCCCTCATCCACAGCACCCGACCAACTTGTAGCATATGGAAGCATTTCTGCACGACAGGTTATTCTGAGAGGAAAACACATGATTCATAAATACTGTCAAATAAAATATGCATTTCCAAGTGCGAGTCATAGAACACGATATATCATACCGGGGAACACAGCCCCTCCCGCCCCTTCCTGTAATCGCATCCGGGTGTAACGAACATGCTTTGCAGTCAGACCAATTTAAGTTCAAATCGAACAGCACCGTTTATGATCCCTGTGGTCTCAGGTGAGTTGCCTGACCTCTCCTGGTCCTCTTTTTATTTATCTATAAAATGTAAATAACAGGAAGTTCTATGTGGGTAGTTGTAAGATTCGAATTCCATGATATCTGGTAGGCAGTCAGCCCAGCACCTGGGTGGAGTGTTTTCAGGTCCCTAGGCTAAAGCCAGATGGGTCAGTTCAAACCCCAAAGAGGAGCGTCTCAGCACGCTTTGCAGGGGTCTTATCTAAGGGGTACACAGGGAAGGACTCAGGAGGCGGGTAGACTGTTACTCACAAGGGCCATTGGGAGTCATATCAGGAACTTGATTCCAAAGCCCAAAGCATATTCCTAACTGCTTCAGCATAAATATAAAGCAGAAAGTGTGCTTTGATGTGCATGAGTGAAAAAAATTTAAAAACCAAACAGATCTCCAAGAGGTTGTTCATATGCATTTTTTTCCTGTTTTGTTTTTTGTATTGGAATATAATTGTAACTGCTGTTGCTTAAACTAATAGCTTAGGTTGCGGGTATCTGACTACACTGTAAATTATCTCTGTCGTACACATTGGACCAATGGCAAGAGGGAGAGTAACTACCTGATCAGGGCAACTTTGAAACTAACATAAGCTAAATATTTTCTCATATATCATCTTATTTAATTTTCACAATTATGTATTCCTACTGTAAGGAAGAGAAACTTGAGGGTGAAAGATGATAAAAATCCCTCTTTATGACATGCAGACTCTAGGTGATGAAGTAGGAATTCAGGTTTATGTTATTTTAAAGACCTGCCTCTCCACCCCTGAGTGCTTCATGACATCTTCTATACATGTGCAATTATTTTCCTTAAGTTTTCACTCAAATGTAAAAATGTATAAAGGACTTTTGAGATATCTTTGTTTAAAATATTTGTTCATTTATATTTCACCAAATAAGTAGAGATCTAAATGCAACATGTTCTCAAAGATGAAGCACTAAAATTCCAAACATGCTTGTGTGGGAGTTGCTAGACCCTTGGAACAACTTTTCCCAGGGGAAAAACCCATCATTCTGATTTCTGGTCAGTCCCCGAGAGCTGATGACATCGCTGGGCAAACACAGTCCTAGGAACACAAAACCTGCCAACCAATTAGATGCTTGTTTAGGTAGAAAACACGTTTCCATCTCCCACCTGCAGTAGCTCAAACATATGTTCTCACCTGAATCCTGGGTTGGGAGCCCATCTGCGTCCCAGCCCCATCATTGGGGGCAGGGAATCAACCTCGGTCCAGCACAAACACGAATGTGAGCAAAGATGGAGCATGTATATATCAAGGGACGAGAGGCAGAGGACAGAGGATTCCCAGCTGATAGTCATATTTTTAGGCCCGATGGGTGTTCCTAAAATGTGTCTGTCAAAAACTATGACTGGAAAAATGTGAATATATCTCAGAGGATAAGAGTTCAAGATTTCAAATAAAAGTATTTGTTCCGGCAGCAGTGGCCCAGCCCTCTTTCAGAAACAGGCAGGTTCACGTGTTGATGAAGGGTTCACAGTTGGGGGGGTGGTGTGGGGTGCTTTAGTCTATTTTAGGAGCTATGTGACCCATGACCCATAGGGTGGGTCAACTAGAGCAATTTTATTATAGGTCACTGAATTTCCACTGAAGGAACATAGTGAAGCGATTGAATAGATACATAAACTAGCTGAGAAGCAACTCAAAATGGAAAAAAGACATTACTCTGAAGATTAGGGGAAACAGCCTTCTTGGTTGCGAAATAGTTGTGTCGTGGACTAAGGGACATCGAAAGCATTTCCTTTACAATGAACAGCTGTGAGCTGAAATCAGACTTGGTGTGTGCACACAAAGTTTAGCCAAGGTCTTTGTGGAGAGAATAGTCAGAACGATCCTAATGATTCAAATGAAGTAGGCTGTCCAGTTCCCAACTGCCACACCAGAAGCCTTTAGGAAAACCAGGTCACTCACACGAGCTAACACATGTAGCAATCTGTTTTTTACGGAAATTACATGTGTAAGCTTGGTGGTCAGCTCAGACCAAGGTCCTCACCTAGTCCTCTCTCTAAGATGTAACATATCCACATACCTTTCTCTATGGAAAAGTCGTCATTTGTTTAAACTGGTTCACTTGAGAAGTTGTGAAGGTTGTACTCAAGAACATTCTGGAAGGTTTCAGTTATTGGAGAGAATATAGAGGTCATTACCCTGTGGCCACATGTCTAAACATAATTAAGAAGCGGCAGAAACTACTATCATAATGTAATATGTGCAACTGGAGAACGGGCTGTCTTCACACTTATCTCCTGGTGAAGTACTATAATTCATCAGGCAAACTAGAATTGGGGAACTCACTTTATAAGTAGTAGTGTTTTACATGACTTCTTACTTTGGATTTTTTTTTTATATTTAAAGGATATATTTTTTTTTCCTTTTTGTTCTGATTGATCCTATTATTTGAAATTGCAACAGTGGGGTTAAAACCCAGGTTTTCAGTGGTATTGATACTCAGGAATTATCGATTTATTCATAAAGCATGTAATGCAGTATGTTCCAGAATGGATGAGGCAGGGAGAGTCCTCACCTCAAAGAGCCTGAAGTTTAGTTCTGAAAATCATTAGAACTGTGTTATATAACTCAAAGAAATATACAGAGTATTCAGAGAGGCCCTATCGGCAAGACCTACCTAATCCAGGCATTTCTAGTGGTATTGTTTTTTAGGTAGTAAAATCAGCATAATTGAAAAATAAAAAAATAAATAAAAAGCAAACAGAACAAACTATTAGACAAGGAGCAAGAAATCTTGAGCCTTCATTCTACTCAACAGTTAATACTCGTGTTATTAAGAGCATTACATTTAATCTCTCTGAGCTCCAGTTGTCCTAGTTCTGGTGTAGGGATTGGAAAAGATGTCTATGATTTTCTTATATAACTCATAATTCTCCAATACTAGAATTTTAGGAATCAAAGTCTTGTGAAAGAAATAGGGAGGTGGTTCATAGGTGCCTGCTTCCATCATGGCATCCAGGCACCAACCTTTTCTTCTTAAATGAGACTTCATTCAGAGCAAGCTTTCCTAGTCCCACACAAGTAAGAGATAGAAAGGTGCTGAGGAGTAGCGTCACTCGCCCTGACCCTGGTTCTCTCATTACACGCCCCTCATCTTTAGAAGGCCATTTCTGAACCCGGCTGGAGAGGACATTTATAAATTGAAAAGATGTCCTGCAAGATCCTACTCTACAACCCTTCTCCTCTCCTCTTCCCCTTGTTCTAGCCTGAGAGTCACTCACCTGAAGTAGGATGTGCTGAGTACTCGCCTTTGGTCACCCCAAGGCCACACTGCTCCTGCTCACTGCCTTAGAAGCCCCACATGTGAAGACGGAATCAACCAGGCTCTCTCCTCTGCGTTTCCCATTGGACTTTACCAGTAGTCATTCGTAGGATCAGAGGACAGGGTGGAAAAGAGGGCCGCCTCCTATTCCCCTAGTGCCTGCCTTGCTGGGCTGCAGCTGGCAAGTTGCTGGCCCTCTTTCTTTACCTGAGGGGTCTCTCAAGTAGCCACCTCCTGTAGGTGCCACTATCTCTGGGTCTGGTCCATGTAAGGAGGACAGACAAGGTGAAGACACAGGGAGAAGAGAGTGATGGAGAAGCTGAGAAGAAGCCCTGGCAGAGATCTTTCCCCCATGGCCCTCGGAAGGAACGAACCCTCCTGACACCTTGGTCTCAGCCTTGTGGCTTCCAGAACTCTGAGAAAATACATTTATGTTACTCAAGCCCCCTGATCTATGGTCCTTTGTTCTGGGAGCTTTAGTAAACTACCCAGATTCTCCTATTTGCCCCGTCAGACCTGGGGATGGTAACTGCCTTCTGTCACCGGTTTCATTAGTCCTGCACACAGATTTGTAAATATTCTCTTCTCTAAGCTGTCTTCAATTATTCCTTTTCAATGTGCCATTTTATCCTTGTGGTTCCTTGCCTAAAATATAAAAACGGAGTCTAAAATATATTTTTCTACTTTCTTCTGTTTTTCTGTAGTGCTTTCCTCCTTAGTCCTATCTTTCAGCATCCAGAACTTTCACTTAAAAAAAGAAAGAAATGGCTTTTAGGAAAAGACCTAAAGTATATGGCTGGTTAGCAGGCGTTACTATTAACATAACAAATGGTAAACAATAGCACAGGAACAAATCGCCCATCACAGAATTCCAGTTAATCAGTGTGGGGAGATGTTTGGGGGTAATGGAGCCTTCCTAGACCACTGCTATTGAAACACCAATTCTCTCACTATTGCTCGTTTCTCTTCCTTGAAACCAGAAGTACAGTAAGTCAACTCAAACAACAGACAAACAATGCAGGAATGTAGAAAACAGATATCAGTAAATAGGCTACCATCAGATATTAAAGGTTAAGAGCGGAGAGTTCAACAAAAATATTAACAAGTATTAGGTGAGACTCTAACACTAGCTTTGGGGACACAAAAGACATCAGATGTGATTTAATGGAAATCCCATTTAGAATTCCATTAAATTAATTAAATGAATTTTCTTCATTTTTAAATTGGGGAATAGATTTTGAAACTGGATTATCAGGCTAGCTGGAGAAGAAAAGACAAAATATATTACAACAAATAGTTGAAATGCATTTAAGTGAGATGAGCAACTGTGTTAGACGAATACTAGGGCCGGCCGAGTGGCTCAGTTGGTTAAGAGCTCGCTCAAGAGTGTGAGCTCTGAGCAACAGCGGTTTGAGTCCCAGCCCGAGCTGAGCTGCTGCTGAGCTTCCAACAGGTGGCAGGATCTCTCAGCTAAGAGAAGGAAGGAAGGAGGAAAGGAAGGAAGGAAGGAAGGAAGGAAGGAAGGAAGGAAGGAAGGAAGGAAGGAAGGAAGGAAGGAAGGAAGGAAGGAAGGAAGGAAGGAAGGAAGGAAGAATAAATACTTATCTTTTGATCAAACAAAAATAGCCCTGTAATTCCCAAAATAAAGAGATGGAGTTCTCCAAGGTTTATTTTTGAAAGAGATTTATAAAGAAAGT